TTCAGTATGGTAGACCATCTATTTACGCTAACGAGTTAAAAGTTGCCAATCAATATAAACCGGTAGGTCGCAACATCGTGCTCGAGCTCTTCAGGCCTTTGCCCCGTGGCGCTGCACATGGCGCCTCTCCCCTTCTTTGCACAAATGTTCCGTTATGGTTGTTGGCGACGATCGTCAGCTCGAACTAACTATAAACGGTCACCAAATAAATGTGCCCAGACTTATTAAGGATCTGGCGTATCATATTCTTATAGTCTCAATCTGGCAGAACACCGCGCCCGATTGCCTCAAAAGCTCGCCAAACTACTGGATTTATTCACAGAAATGTTAAGAACATGAAAGTTAGAACTAGCCTTCATAATAAGTACGTGAAACAGTCATTTTTATATGCAGACGACTTAAAACTCGCATATGCATATAATAAGCATTCAATAATTAATTTGCATTTTTGATTTTATTGTACCTTTGTAGACAGGTTTTTTCACTTAAAACAAACTCCCTATTTTGCGCACTTTTGACTAAGCATAAAACAAAACATAGCTAATATCTGTGTGCAAAAGAGGGGGTTTGTTTTAGGTTTTTTCTTGTTTTCCAAGGGTTTTGACGATGCCCAAGAGGTGTCTTACCAATAAACCTTATTATTATAATACTGCTCGCCCCTATTTAGCCTTCTGCACACTAGAAAACGTAAGAAAATAGAATCGGTCCAGTATTTCTTCACTTAAAGAGTTTTCTCTTCAGAACACCATAGCCTGTCCTATCAGCAACGTTGTAAAAATATTAACCTCAATCCCTTGGGGATTCACTGATTATAGAAGGGATTATTTTTACTGTTTAAAGTTTCAAATGGCCGTACCTTTAATCCCCTCAGTAACATGAGGCAACGTGACCACTATCGGCGTGTCAGGCATCGAGATGTCTTTTTATTTCTTCCTATGACATGCACAGTTCAAGCCATAGTTATCTGAAATAAGCTGCACAGTATTATCAAAACTCATCAAAGTTTTCTACATTCGGGACAAATTTCACGAATTTTGGGTGCTGACTCAGTGGAGTCCCTCTTTCACTCTGATGGCGTTAGTGAACTTTGAAGCCTCTCAGGCTTCATGTTGAGGACAATGGCGCTGAATCTGCAGCCCAAGATCGGCTGATTCTTCGGCTGACAGCGAGCAACTGTTCGTCGATGCGCATTATTCTGGTGCAGAACGTCAAACCCATTACGCTTACGGAAGACTGAGAACACTGTGTTCCTGTGTCAACCCTCCCCTGTCACGAATTACAGTTCCTCAACGAGCTGCCGATTTTTGCTGATAAACTGTCAACTCGGTCTATAACTGTATTATCCTTTGCTAGTATCGTACCTTTGAAGTCACTTTTTTCACTTAGAACAAACTCCTTAGTTCGCCCACTATTGACCAAGCACAAAACTACAACTAAACCAATACTGACCACGAAAGAGGGAGTCTTGTTTTTCTAGGTTTTTCCCGTCTTCCAGGTTTTAGAAAACACCCACGAGGTGTTTTACCAAGTAACCTAATTTTGACCTTGCCTGTAAACAGGCAATAAATTAATAAACCTCTAAATCACCAAATAAGGATGTGCAGTGCGGGATATGAACGCAAACCGCAGATATGATATAAAAGCTTACGGATTATAATAAAAAGGCCTTCACTATGAAGAGTAAGTGAGAGTTTAGATGCCAGACGAACACCGATGTACCGGAGAGAGGATATCTCGTTGGGCAGAGTGGTAGTGGATTCAGGACTTGGAGGGGGTCGCAATCGAAAAACACACTGAACTGACTTCTGGTCGTTAAGTAGAAGGCCATTTGTTGACAAACGTGCTGAGCCACCGGCAAGGCCATCTTTCAGTACTTGAAGATGTATCTGACTTTTGAGAGAATAACCAACAACCACATCATAAGCAAACATTCATTTGGCGATCTTAGGTCGTCAGTGTGGAGGGAGAAGAGGTGAAGGGATAACATGGACACTTGGAGAACTCCACAGTTGTTTGGAAGGACCGTGGATTTTCGCTTGCCACAGTGAAAGAATTGAGTGCCGTAAGTGAAATATTCCCCAAGCCAAGGGACAACCCAACTGAGAGAACCGCTTGCATAATTTTATTTAAAAAAAGATGGCGCGGGATCTTATTTAAAGCTAAGGCCTAGTCAAGAAAAGCACATGCGTATGCACGGCGTATGCCCTTATCTAAATCAATTAGAGCAGAATGGACTACCAGAGCAACAGCATCTAGTGCACTACGTCTAGCCTTATATGCAAATTGCATGGGATCGGAAAAATCAGAGGGAAAGAGCGTTATTATGTCCAGGGCAACTCGTTCTGCAAGTTTCAGTGGTGTAGAAGAGTAGGCAATTGGACCAAAGTATTTGGGACCAAAAGTAGAGGGTTTGAAGGATGGGAGTGACTCTCATTGAACGCCAATCATCGTTAATCTTGGACTCCATGAAGAACAAGTTGACAATGCGTGTCAAAACAGGAGCTAACTGAAAAGAGCACGATTTTAGGAGAAACGTTGCGACGCCATCTGACCTGGCAGCTGTTGAAGCTCGAACCTTTTAAGATGTTTCGTCGCTGTTGCCACGGACACAGAAGCAAAGACACATGGTAATAAAGAAATACCGTTTGTCGGACGATAGGAGTTGGTGGAAATTGCGGTCAGATTGCGGTTTAAATTTCTCGTCCTCCGTGGGAAATATTATTTTCGGGATTTC